GAGGCAGAAAGGAGAGATGATTTTTTACCTTTTACTTAGGAAAAAAGTGAATTGGTAAAAAATAACGCAAAGGCAGCAAACTTATTTTACCTGGAAGATTTTCCTAAAATCACTTTGTTTTTGGAAAAGTTCCAGAAATTTTTCAGCAGGCCTCAAGGTCCACTAACGCAACATGACCATCAACCCCATCAATCTTCCAAGTAAAAAAAAAAAAAGCAAGTCCAGGAAAACACGCTGACATCAGTTCAATGCGGAATAACGTAAACTTCCCGAGTTCGATGACAAGACATCCACACCTGGCAACTGCGCAATCCAACATATCGATCTCAGACTTCAGAGACTTTTACCTCGACATCATCATAACTCGATACTACCGAGCTGGGGGGCTAACTGTAGGGGTCGGAATTCTCCCTTATGAGATCGATATAACGACGAGATCAACTCTGCAGCGTCCTGACGAAATCGGATCAAGTCTAGAATGGTCCAGTCAGAATCTAGGCCCAAAATGACATTAGACCCATAATCAAAATGGGCTTAATAAATTATGAGCCTAAATTAGATATATTGCTTAATGGGCCAAGCCCATTTTATTAGTTGACCCATTTACTTAAACACTATATATATCTCATTGTACTCACCCAAAAAAGGGTTCAGAACTTTTAGCAGAGAAACTCTCTTGTAATCATAGTTTAACAGAAACAGCATTAAAGAGTTTTTATTCTCAGTCTTTGTTCTAAATGAGTCCACGATATAGAAATCTCTAATCTCCAAATACCTTTGACAAATTTAACTGTGCTGATCTGACTCCCACAAGAAATATGTATAATTCCAACACATATTAGCATTATTTACGAATTCTAGTTACTTTCATAGTAATTGAAATCGACATCTTGCATTTCCAGTAGCCAAGTTGCTTTTATATTCGATTCTTATGTCTTGCAACTGGGAATCTAAATGAGTCACTTTTTAGCATAGAAACGTGTTTGGGCCATCATTATCCCAACAAAACAAAATAAAATAAAACCTAACCCCTCTTAAACTTAAAACAAATCAAGAAC